GAGAGAGAGAGAGAGAGAGAGAGAGAGAGAGATCACCACGTCCGTTCTACTCATGCACTACTCAGTCTATTCATTGATCACAAACTTGAATTCAATAATCGATAAAATTCATTACAAAATCTCATTCGCTGTCTATGGCCGGATCCCCATTCACACCTGGGCGAAGTGAAGAAAATCAGTGCATTTCCCACGGACACAACAACGTTGAAGCTAGCTGAGCCTCGAGCCCACGAAACCCCTTCACTTTAGACCATGTCCTTATAGATATTATAGTTACTTTAAGTACTCTTATAATGGCTCTGACTACTTATTTTGCGCTTTGAAAATAGCACTTATAAGTCGCCCTGTGAAATATATCAAATCAAAACAAGCAAGCAAAGGAACAGTAAAAAAAAAAAAAAAAAGACCTGGTCTACTCTATTCGATAAAACCTGTTGAGTCTCATTTGAAAATTCAAACAACAAATTAAAATGTATAAATAAATAATTAAAAGCTCATTTGCAATCGCATGAAACCAAAGCGTGCTAGAAGTGCGCATTATATTAAGATGATGTCACTCTTCTTTCTTCTTCTCGATCGCATAGATGATGTCACTGAAATCTAGGTGTTCATTGAAGACCTATGCGCACGCGAGAGAGAGAGAGAGAGAGAGAGAGAGAGAGAGAGAGAGAGAGAGAGAGAGAATAAACAATGGAAAACACTACTATGTACAAATTTAGAGAACGTCAATGTGTAGATCTGTGTCTTTTTTTTTTCAATCCACGAACCGCCGTTGATCCAGCGATGACAGAGCACGGCCAGTCAGCCCGTCCCAGTTCTAGAAGTTAAACCACACCAGAGTACCTGCCAAGCATCCACTCTCTTTAACTCTAACCGCTTTCGTCAGGAACGTAAGTGCCGTAAAAGTAAAATAAACACACAAATAAGAATAGCTTGGCATAGACTAGATCCGTCTTGATAACAGCCAGCGACTTATTCAGGTCATCCAGCCACTTGTGGGCTTGTCTGGGAGCTCAAAGAGTAGGAGTTAGTAAGGTACGCTATGAGCATGCGTCAACAGTTTAACAAGGGGTACAGGGGGATCTTGTTGCGGGTGATAATGTTAAAGAATGCGATCTAAAGAGAAGTTGGGTTTTTTTTTGTGGTCTGTTTGTCTATCAAAT